TATGACTCCGCCTCCTCGTCTTCCCCCAGCGATAAATTAGCGACCCACTCGCTGATCTTCTTCTCCAGCTCAGTATCTGTCTCCCACTTCATCGTGCCACCACTGCTCCCTTCCCCACTCTCAATTCTCATTCTCTCTTTCTCTTCTTCTGCTGCCGCTTCTGCTTCGGCAGCCTTCCTTCTTTCTTCCCCCTCCTGTTGTACCCTCTTCATCTCCTCCTCCAACCTCTTCATCTTTGCCGCCTGCTCATCTGCGATAGCCTTTAGCTTCGCCTGCTTCTCGGGCTCTTTTCTCTCCTTGTTCTCTTTCTCTAAGGCGGCCATCTTTGCTTGCTGCTCAGGGGTGTAGGGACTAGTCTCCGTCCCACTACGGGTCTCAACCATGGTGATAAGTGTACAACCGGGTTAGTGGTTCCAAACCTCACCACGTAGACTCTGACCCCTGACTGACAAACCTATAGACTCGATCTAAGACTTACAGAATCCTGACAAGGACCCTGTCAATTATGGTCTCTAGCCTAGACCTATGCTATGGCTGTCATTACTGAACCAGTGGCTGATCAGGAGGCATTTAAGGAGATCACCCGTAACTCCTCAAGAATTCTTTAACGTCGCAGACAGGACGACGTGATCAGCTTGGTTCTGCCTGTGCTTTCAGCCCACAACTCAGCCTTTCCGGCCTACTGTGCCACACCGAGCATCCCGCCGGTCTGTACCGGTCCTTGGGAGGGTTCGTATCCCCCGGGACAGTCAAGTCGTAAGACACAGATCATCAGCCTTACTTGGTCTGGTAGGGGAGTGGTTCCAACAGGCCCTCAACACTTAAAGACGGCCTCCGTTTCAGCCTGCAGCTCAGAGTTCGGACCCTCTACACTCAACTGAGCAGACCTGTCGGACAGTACCGGTCATTGGGCTAGACGAGTTGTTTAACGAGCGCTCGCCGCTCATGCCCAGGTCTCCAGATACCAGAGTAGAGATTAGTCCTACTAAGTCCCGTGCAGGTTTGAAAGCAAGGCCCTATCCTTCATCCACAGAGTTCTATGACTTAGGACAAAAGAGACTCAATGCAGAAAGAATAGACAGACAGACTGTACTCAGCAAGTACCAAGGGGTATGTGCACATCCATAGGGCAAGGGGCAGGCTAAGGGCTTGGCGAGGTGTTACCAACTCCAGCTTGGTCAAAGTCTTGGTCAACGCCTTGGTCAACGGCCTTGGTCAACGCCGGTCAACGCTGCTACGACCCTCGGTCAACTTCGGTCAACTCCGATCAACGCCTCCGATCAACCCTCTCGGTCACCTCCCCGGTCAGCTATGGTTGCCGGCACTTCTTCCTCACCAATCCCCTTCTCCTTCCTTACCTCCCTCGCC